GACCTCAGGTGCCTCTTCATGCCTGCCGGCCTCAGGCACACCTGGCTTTTCAACCGCCAGGTGTCCTGCCCACGGCACAGTGGGGGCTGTGCAAGAAGGAGGGGCCCCTGACTCCCACTGGCCTTCACCAGGGACCTTCCACCACCACTGATGACCACCCTGCTCCAGAAGTGCGTGGCCACCGCACGAGGCTCTACTTAAGAAACGGCAGTGAACCCGTATCTGTGGGAAAGTCTCCGTGCTCCAGCCACAGGCCACTCCAGGTTGGAGGGCTCCTCGGTACTCTCTGCCCCTCCACACACTCGGGGTGCCTCTTCATCTATGGCTGGTGTCCCCCACCTTTCACTTGCAGAGCTCACTGCATGCTGACAGACACCAACCCCCCAAGGCCTCCAGCCTCCCAATCCCAGGGCTTGCTCCCACAGTGCCCCTCCCACTGCCTGCCCCCCCCCCCTCCTGAGCAGGAGTCTGGTATCTTTGGAATCATGGCCTTTGCCCTCTCCTCCCAGGGAGTGTGCGGCTGATTCATCACACCCACTGAGGGCGATGGTGGGCACGGACAAGGGCTGGGAGCATTGGTGACAGAGGGCTGGGAACTTGTGAAAGGGAGACTGGCTGCTGTATTACCCAGCACAGGAAGATGTCTGAACCACAGTGCTTCATGCTGTCCACCCAGGAAGGTGGTGCCAGCCTCCTACAGCCTGCCCCGGGACCTTAGCACCACACCATGCTGGACTGGCTGGACGCCCGGGAAAGCCTTGACCATGCCCTGTGAGGTGCCCCACAGCCCCTCTGCTTTCATCTAGGGGCCCCCTTGAGTCACAGGCATTGGGTCACCTACAGTACACCAGGAAATGGCAGATGCAGACAGAGCTGGCCAGGGGTCAGGCAGCCCCCACTCCATGTGACCCAGGCATGCCGCAGCCCCGCTCTGGGCCGCCCTGTTCTGTCTGTACGATGGGTGGCAGCCACCAGCCTGCACACCGCACATGACCTTCTACAGATCAAATGAGGCAATAAATAGGAACCTGCTGATGGTGCCAGCATCGGGGGCTAGTCCTGGATTAGTGTGAAGTTGGGTGATTCCATGCCTGCCTCTGCTGACTCCTCCTCCAAGTCTCCCCCGAGCACAGAGCGGGTCCTCCACAAGCCCAGTCCCACGTGGCTGCAACCTGCAACAGGTGAGTTTCCCTCCAGCGACAACTTGCAGCTCCTGGAGAGAACTCCTGCCCTAGTGTCAGCTGATCCCACAGCCCCCCTGGAGGCCGCGGGCCAAGAGGACGGTGGCAGCCTGGCAGAGGAGGATCTTTCCTAAGTACCTTCCTATGGTTCTGAATTGACACCGTGAAGCTCGGCCATCCTCACTGCAGGCTGTTTCCTTATCAGGAGAGGAAGAGTGTAAATGAAAGGGTAGATTTCTTTCTCTTTTTCTTTTTTTTTTTTTTTCTGCAAAAGCTTAGGCCTGAGACAAAGGAAGCTCTGTGCACCTCGAGACTTGGCCCTTCCTACATGACGCTCCCAGGGAAGTCGCAAGATTAAAAATTAATAATAAAAACAGCAGACATCACCCAATGACTGGAGGCTGAGGAGGAGTCCAAGGAGCCTAGAGTCAGAGCAGGTGGGCACCTTAGATTCATCCTCCTGCACCCCCACTTTGCAGATGGGCAGGCTGAGGTCTAGAAACCAAGGTTACATATAAGGCAAGCAGCCTTAGGTCCCTGACTCCCAGGCAGAGTTATTCCTTTTAGGCCTCGACGTGTTGTTTTGTCTGTGATGCTGCGCATGGAACCCCGGGGCCTCTTGCATGCTACACATGTGCTGTGCTGTACCCAGGCCCACCCTTCCACTCTTGACAGTGAGCAGACCCCATGATGAGGAGGGACACAGGACAGAGACGGAGGAAAAGGCATGGCAGAGAGGGCAGCTGTCTCAGGGAGAGGGCAGGTGAAGGTACAAAGGAAGGAGGCCTCTCTTGGCTCCCCCTCTTACCCCTGGCTCCAGGGGGGTTTGCAGGAACTTTGCAGAGTCAGAGGGTCAGTTCCAAGACAGGTCAGTCCTCTTCCAGATCCTTCAATAGTTGCCTATGGGAGGAGCAGAGCAGCCTGGGCCCTGACCACAGAGAGCCAGGTCATGTGAGGGGCCTCCAAGAAGCACATTCCAGGCCCTACTGTCAGCAGGTCAGACCCTGAGAGACCATCTGGCTCCCTCAACCCTCAAGTTTGCTTTCAAGGGAAAGGGGACTGAACATGGGGAAGGAAACGGCCAAGCTCATCTGACTAGCCGGCAGAGCACAACCTGGACCACAGAGGTTCCTCAGCTCCCAGCCAGGGCTCTTCCCTTACTGCATCCGTCCCCCTGTGCCAGAGGCCAAAGTTTGGAATGGACAGGGGCAAAGGCTGGCTCACAGAGGCAGCAGTAGCAGCAGCCCTCCCAGATCCGCCAGGCTGTATCCAGGCACTGACCTCTCAGCTGCCCTCTGGGAGGTGGGGGTCATGAGCAAGCAAATGCCCAGGCCTGGGCCTTGGTGCAGAGCAGGTTCAGGGCGTTGTCCTTGGGTGGGACAGAGCAAGGCAAGCCTCTTATTGTGCCTGGCTCTGCAATCTGAGGACCCCCTGTGTCCAGGTCAGCTGGGGAGCACATGAAACATGCAGGTTCTTGTCCCAGCCTTGCCCCCAACCCAGTGAAAAAGCGTATGTCCCCATGGAGGGGGGCCATCCTCACCACTGCACTCACCAGGGAAAGAAGATTGCACGAAGAACTTTCCATGTCCCAGGATGTCAGCAGAGCGGCCATGGCCCATTCGCAGGCTCTGCTAATTGGCACCACTGTTCTGCTTCAGCTTAAGCCTGAAAGAGGTCACCCTCCTGGTGCCACCCACAGGAGTCCAATAAAGAAAGAGCTCCATGGCCCAGGGCCAGCCCGCCTGGCTCCAACCCGGGGAAGGCCCCGAGCCTGGATTCAGGACAACTAGGGTGACCAAGAGCCTGGAACAGAAAGGCTCCCTGAACGTGGGACTTGAAGCACTGAAAGCAGGAGGAGCTGGTCGCCCGAGACAGCCTGGGATACCTGGGTGTGCCTCCTCTGGGGGGGGCTCCTGGAAGTCATGGAAGCCCACCCCGCAGAGCCCCCAAACACTCAGAGCCAGAGCAGGGAGTCCCTGGAGTCGGGCGGGGACCTGCCCCTCAGCATCATCCATTGTTAGCGTGTGTCAGAGCTCTGTTCCTCTTGGTGGCCGGTGGGCGACAGGCCACATCTTGTTTGTCCACTCATCTGTTGATGGACACTCGACGGGTTCTGCCTTTGCCTACTGTGACTGGTGCCACTCTGAACAGTTCACAAGTTGGAGAGTCCCTGCTCGCACTCGATCACCTGCTCACGTGGTCTGCGTCCAGCTATTCAGGAGCCGCCCTGCTCCCCACGGTAGCTGCACGTTTTCCTTCCTTCCAGTGAAGCTCCACAGCTCCGGTCCTCCACATTCCTGCCAACACCTGTCACTTTCCAACTCTGGATACTTGGGCTGTTATTGATTAGACTCCCAAATCTCCACAGCCACCTCTGGTGGAATATCCTTCTGGGAGAACTAATGCACCCCACGTGGACCCCACACTGCCCATGCAGATTTCTAGTGCAGCACTTGAAGACCGAGGTCCATTCATGTCTTTTCTCATCTCTGTGAGATCATCCCTCAAGACAGAAACCTGTCCCATTGGCCATCCCCTGGGACCCAGTAGATGAATCTCTGAGTGCCACGGTGATTAGTGATGTCTACACTGCTGGGGTGACAGCACCACACACAGTGGGGGTCTAGAGAACCAGTGGTGGAGGCTGTGTTGGGTCAGAAAGCTCTACAGCAGTGCTTTTACAAAATAGCAGTAATCATGACAGGGCTGAGACCTGAAATAGGTACCACATAGAGAACCACGTGCATGATGGCAATGCCCACATTTTGCCAAAGAAGATGTATAAATGGCTGTCCAGCACATGGGGAGATGTTCCGTAGCATTAGTCAACAGAGAAAATAGAAATCAAGGCCATTGTGAGGGCTGGGGATGTAGCTCAGAGGTAGAGTGCTTGCCTTGCATGCATGAGGGCCTAGGTTAGATCCCTATTGTCACAAAAACAAACACCCACAGTGAGAAACGTTTCACCTTCAGTAGGCTACTGCCACATGAGGACAGCCAGTTGCACCCTCTGTGAGGTCCGGCACTTCACAAAGACACCCAACCTGCTGTTGCTTCCGTCAGGATTTCCTGGCCTCCAGAACCGTGAGCAATACATGTCTCTTCTCATAAACCCCCTGCCTCAGGTATTTTACCATGGCAGCAGGAATCGACTAAGGCACTGGGTGGAAGAAGCCAGATACAAAGGCCACGTGTTGGGACTGGGGGTGAGGCTCCATGATGTGGCTCACCAGCCTAGCCTGCACAACGCCCTGAGTGGGATGACTCCATTAATATAGAGTGTCTAGAACAGGCAGATCCATAGAGCAGAAAGCAGGTTAGTGTCTGCACAGGGCAGGTGGAGGGCAGAATGGGCACAGGCATCCTTCCCAGGGAGAAGAAAGTGTTCTGAAGTCACCTGTGCTGGTGGTGGCCTGACATCTGTGAATCCACTGATAGCCAAAGGGCTGTGACCTCATGTCTGGCATGTGTGCTACGTCCAACAAAGGTAGGCTGCAGGCTGGGCTCAGGTTTGTGGCCTGGCCACTACTGGCCAGTGACTTTCTCTAGATCCCGGTTACCCTGGCCCTTCCCTTGACCTGGCCTGTCCCCTACCCCACTGCAGCTGGGGCTACAGCTGCCATGTGCTGCCTGCTCCTGTCTCTGGGGTGAGCGCAGCACTCTGGGCTCTGTGCACTAGGGTGCCACCTCCCAGAGCGGCCTGCCGAGCCCACGCCCACCTAGTGTGTGTGTCTGACTTCCTCCTGTGTTTCTAACAGCCTTCCCCCGTGGTTTTGTTTCTTCACTGTTTGGGGCACACACATGCACACGACGCCAAGATGCATTCATCGGTCTCTATTACAAATAACGACCTTACAGTCCAGCTCAACTCTCTGAAGTTTTATGACAAGGCCACAAACGGAGGGCCTCTGAATTCCTCTGGCTTGCCTCTGGGCTTTGTCATCCCACCGTGTTATCCTGAGAAATATTCCCTATTTCAGAATCATATTAATTGCAAGATTTAAAAATCATAAGAGCTCACATAAAAATGCGGGCTTCTGGCTTCTCTTGACAGCTCTGAGACCGGGGACAAGGGTCCACGCTCCCACACGGCAGCCAACGCTGAAGCTGAGCAGCTCTGTCAACTGTGGCATGCAGGAGCTGCCTGGTCGGCCTCCCTCCCCACGGTGTCCTAACGTCTGTCCCCATCAGTGTTTCTGTAAACAACCCCGATTTAAACTCAATGTGGTCTCACAATTGCTTCACTGGAGCCCAGCACCATGGCAGCCACCTGTAGTCCAGTGGATCCGGAGTTCAAAGCCAGCCTCAGCAACTTAGTGAGGCCCTAAGCAACTTCGCAAGACCCCGTCTCAAAGTGAAAAATAAAATGGGCTGAGGATGCGGCTCAGTGGTTAAGCACCCCTGGGTTCAATCCCTGGTACCAAAAAACAAACAAACAAATGATAAACATAAAAAGGGCCGGGGCTGGAGCAGTAGTGTGGTACTCATAAGCACACACCAGGTCCGCGGCTCAACATCCAGGACTAAAGGGGGGAATCGCTCCCCTGGCTTCCTGTGCTTGTATTTTCTTCTACTATTCATTCAACAATCTTTTATTGTGTATCTACCATTCTCCAGGCTCTGAGTTGGCACCAGGGACCCAAAAATGAGAAAGACTAGGCCCCTGGCCCCTTGGGCCTTCTGGTTTGCAACCATCACCTTCCACCCTTCCGTACCTTGTCACAGGCCCACCGGCTGCATGCAGGCCGACCTGTCCCCATGCTTCCCCAGCACATGGCATGTAGCACTTGGAAGGACAAGGTCAGACTCCCAGAAGAGCAGGGACTTGGCACCCAAGGGTGGGGCAGGGGCCAGAGGACCAGAGCTGGGGAGGCCAACCCCAAGGTTGACCCACAGGAGCTGGGAAGGGTTGCAGTACAGAGTGCAGACAGCTCACCACTCACTCTCCCCCTGCTAGACTAAGACCGCCCACTGGGAAAGGCCAACGGGTGGACAGATAGGCACAGAGGCAGGAAGGGGACACCAGGAGGGTTTTCTAGGCCCAGTGACAACGGGGAAGGAAGCATCGAGGGAGATCAGGGAAGAGGTAAGGAGTCTGGTGCCCTGAGCTGCATCTTAGGCTGCAGAAGGTGGTGTGCAGAGCAAGGTCCCCTGGTTTCCAGGGTCAGCACTGTTCTCGGGAGGCTCCCTGTCTGAGGAGGGGAGCTCCCTGCTCCCTCATCTGGGCTCCTCAGGCTCCCCTCCCACTTCCTGGCAAACTGTGAGGTGGGGGTGGGGCACCGTTGGCCCTGGGGTTCTCGGAGCCTTGCACCATCCTTCTCTGCCACCATCACTGCAGGATCACTTTGAGTGTGTTTTTCTTGGGGCCAGGGCATTTTGTCTTCTTTGGTCTTCTTGGGAGCCCATTTCAATACATCTCTAAGATCACCCTGGGATCCATTTTTGAGGTGCTTTTTGCTTTTTTTCCTGATATTTATATATATATATATATTTTTTTTTTTGCTTTTTTGTTGTTTTATTATTTAATTTGTTGTTAGTTTTTGCTTTTATTTTTGGATCCAATACTTACCATTTGCAGTTTGTTGACTGCACACAGGTTGTTTTGTATGCTCTAAGACTGTCCTTCCTTTAGAGGGATTCATCTCCACGTTCCCGAGTTTGTTTGAAGCAGGTTTTCTCATTTCTACACAAGGTGTCTGCCAGTACTTTTGGTCTTTCTTCTCTTCTAACAATGCTGTGTACCATGGACCCATGAAGCTGTCCATCTTTCTTCTAGCTGCAAGGACAGGAAGGAGGTACTTCCCTCCTGCCCTGAGGGGCCCTGAGTTCACCAAGTAGGAACACGCCTCTTTCCTAGTGAGGGGCTGGTGCAGGGCAGACATCCTTCTCTGAGGACAGTAGATTGGTCCAATCCTAGGATGCTTCCCAGGGAGCCAACATGCTGGCAGGTGGTGAAGCAGGCAGGCTTTGAACCTGACAGTTCTGTTCCTTCCCAGTCCTATGCCTGGCCCAGTCACCTAACCTTTAGGGACTATTTCTTTACCTGGAAGTTAGTAAAACCTGAGGATTACATGAGCTAATACTTAGCAGAGTAGCAGGCATCCTGACTGTGCTCAACTGCAGAGGTCACAGAAGCAGATCTGGGGATCTCACAAACCTGAGCCACTGCTGGCCTTTGGAGCCCTGGGTATGGCATTACCCCAGCTCCCCAGGTGCATGAGAAGCCCGATTCCTGGCCCTACCTCACTGGCCCTTCCAGCTCAGATCTGCCCTCAGGCAACTGCCCCAGGAGGAACACCTGCGCTCCACCCTGGACCCAGGCTTTCCCAGATGCACAGGATAAGTCAGGGTGGGCAGAACTATTTCTGTGAAAGCAGCTCAGGTGGAACTGTCCTGCACACCATTGAGGGCTGAAGGGATGTCCCACAGAGTCCCCAGGCAGCAAGGCCTGCCTAGGGCACTGATGGACGGCTGTCACCTTCTGCCCTCTCATGTCAGATAGTCCTGTGGCAGTGTGACCCCTGCCACCTGGGGTAGAGAGCCTGCAGTGCTCACCCATCTAATTCCCTTTTTGTATAACTTGGGCAGGTCAATTCAGTTTTGAAGATCTCAGTTTTTCGGTCTGTAAAAAGGAAAAAAGCTACCCATTTCCAGCGAATTACTCTCCTCCCTTCACCTAACAGCATAGGGACGTGCATTCTGTAACCATCAACTCACTCTCCAAATGTGCGGGCCTCTCAGGGCCCAGGACATTCCTTGCAGGCAGTGGGCTTTGACGGAAGGTGCTTGAAGACTCCTTCTGGAGGCAGAGGCAGAGGGCAGCATGGCTGGCAGCCTTGGGCAGAGGTGAGTCAGGCCCCCACAGAAGTCTTCCAGTTTCTGATGTCCAATGGTCCTGCTGAAGGAGGCCTGGGAGCTCAGCAAGCAGTATCGTTCTAGGACACAAGGGCAGGGCACCAGGATGAGAGGGGAGAAGGAGGTCAGAGGCCACTGAAGGGACAGTGCTGGCTGCTGCTGCTGTTGGCCAGGGAGCCTCTAGTGTGGATGACCCAAAGGGTGGGACACTAGTGAATCTGAAGTGGTGATGTATATCCCTAGAGAGGACCTCAGGGTCCAGGAGGCCCACATGAGAGACCCTGGACACTAGGGACAGAGGGCGCTGGCCAAGGCTGGACACCCCAGTGTCCCCAGTCTCTAGACTGCTCAAGTGATGGAGGCTGGGCAGGGTCTGACTCATCAGGGCTGTGGGCTGCTGGGCTAAAGCCAGGCCACTGGTCTAGCTGCAGCTCAGGGTGCCTCTCACCCATGTAGGCCTAGGCTCCAGCTGCACCCACACCAGGGCAGCAGCAGGCTGGGACACTGGTTGTGCTGCAGGGACACAGGCAAAGGTGACGCCCTGCGGCAGCCGGGCAGAAGCACCCTGGAGCCCACTGCCAGGGGCCTCTGAAGCTGAAGGGGAGATGTGGCTAAGGAAGTGAGCAGGGTCTCCCAGGCAGACGTGTGGGAAGGGCATCATGGCCAGAGCCCAGCATGGGAGACAGACGCCCTCCAGGGAAGCGGTGAGCCAGGTGGCTGGAGGCTTCGGGGGAGCTGGGTGCAGCCTAACGCAGAGGCAGGCCTTCCAGGCATGACACTGTCCACTGGCTGGCTGTTGCTCTGCCGGTTGCCTTCACACCTGGTTCCTGTTGGCCCCAGGGGACCCAACACAGTGGAGGTCTGGCAGCTGCTCTGGGCAAAGCAGCCTCCTTCCCTCCATTCTGGTGCTGTGTTCAGTCATGGCTCACAGCATCTGACCCTGTCCAACACCAGGCCCCACAGAGGACCTGACCCTGTCCAACACCAACCATCTCAACTACGGGAAGTGCCTCCCCTGAAAATACATCCTTCATTAGCTCACCCTCTCCTCCTGAGCAGAAGCAGGGTGCTGCTCTGGAGGCCCCGCTCCACCCAGTCTCTGGATGATGGTGCCCAGGCTGAAAGGCCTCTGCCATCGCCAACTGGGTTCCACAGCACACCTTCAGCCTCAGTGGCTCAAAGGCCGGAGTTTTATGCCTCATGGTTCACAGAGGCTGGAGGTCCGAGACCGAGGAGCTGGCAGGGCTGGTGTCCTAAGGCTTGCAGATGGCCATTCTCTTGTTGCCTCTTAGAAGGATCTTCTTCTGGGTACACCTGTCCTGATGTCTCTGTGTGTGTTGAAATTTTCCCTTCTTATGAGGACACCAGATTGGGCAGGGCCCACTAATGATCTCCAGATGGTCATGCTCTGAGGCACTGGGACTTAAGGGGATGCAGTTTGGCCCAGAGCAGCCACTGAAAGACCCTGGGCCTGGCCAGCGGCTGAGTCCTCTGGGTGAAGAAGGGCAGGGTCTATCCTAGGACCATATCACACTAGGGTGCTGCTTAGAGCTCCACTAGTGTCTGGTGGCTGATGTGGCCATCTCCCTGGACGCAGTTCCTTGAGACCTGGGCTCTGGGCCTCCTGGGCTCTGGGCCTCCCGAGCCGGCTGCAAGACTTTGTGGCCAATGTAGGACACTGAATGAGTAAACGTGAAGAAGCTGAAAGTCCCTGGCCACAGGGAGGAGGAGGAAGAGGCTCCAGAAGGGAGGCTGGCATTCCCAAGCCCCTGCCCACTCTGCCTTGCCTGGAAACCCCTCCACACATAGCAGCCTTGGCACTTGCCCCAGTCAGTCTCACATTGGCATGAGGTTTCCAAAGAGGTTTCATATCCATATTTCCCAAGGCTCAGAGCAGTAGTGTGGGAGGGAGGAAGCAGGGCAGGCCTTGCTGCCATCCACCCACTGCCCTGGGAGATCAGGTCCAGCTTGCCCAAGGGTGTGGTTCAAACTCTGGGCCCATCCCAAGCTGCAGGACTGTCCTAGGGCCTTGGCTGCAACTGGCCTGAGTGGGAGCTGGGCTCCTAGGGAGCAATGATTCATAGCTGTTCCTGCTCTGTAGACAGGCCCAGGGAGCTGGCAGGATCAGACCTGTACATGTAGCCACCCAGTGCCAGGCACGGCATCCAGGCCCCAGCCCTGGCCTGCCCACCTCCATCCACAGCACCAGGGCTGGACACAAAGAGCTCAGGGGGAGGACAGGCTTTCCTGTCAGTCCTGGAGCAAGACTCTGAGGCAAGCCCTGGCTATGCCAAGCCAGAAACCTGGGCTCTTTTTCTCTCCATACTAAGGATTAAACCCAGGGGTGCTTTAGCACTGAACTACTCCTTTAGTGCCCCCAGCCTTTTGAGGCTGGTCTCAAACTTGTGATACTCCATACGCCTGCGTCGCTGAGATCACAGGCAACTGCCACTGTGCCAGCAAGAAACCCTGTACTTTCAGACAAGTTCCTGAATGTCTGAGCCGAAGACCCCTCATTGACAAGTCAGAAATAGATATACCCACTAAAGCAGTATTTGAGTGCTTACTATGTGCTGACCTTGGGGACAGAGATGGACATGAAAGGGGACAGACATGCTTACAGGGCAGGCGGGCGGCAGCGCCTGCCTATGTAGTGCTGGGGGTCCCTTTATCTGGGGTCAAGGACACCTCCCAGGGAAGAGGATGCTGCTCTGGCTGGATAATGAGACAGAAGACTCCAGGGCCCCTGGGGTGATGATTCCACAAAGCTCTCAGGCTCTGTGCTCTCGTCCTTTGGGCCTGCTCAGGAGGGGAGGGGTCAGCTGATGTTGGGTCCCCCTGCACTGTCTCCTTAGTGATGGCAGGCTCCAGAGCTGTCCTCAGGGCCTGCTCCCTCTGCCCCTGGGAAGGAGACCTCCTTCTCCAGCAAGCCTTCCCTGCCAAGCGCCAGGCCCCTCCCGGGCCCACAGGATACCAGGGATCCAAGAGGACCGACGCCCAAGGTCACGCCGCCGCGGGGGCCCCGCAGCCCGGCCGGCGGCCCCGGACGCCCGCGCACCGCTGCCAGCAGCATTTCTGCGCCGCCCCGACCCCGCCCGTCATTACCGCCCTCCGGGCAGACGCTGCTGAGCTCCGCCGGCGTCCAGCTGGGCTGGAGGGTCGCCTGCGCCGCTGCCCCGGCCGCTGCCCTCGCTGCTGCCAGCGCACCTGGCTGCGCTGCGACCCTGCCCAGGCCCACTCTGTCTCCAGGTCCCCTCCTCTGACACCCCGTCCCGCCCAGACCCCTTCCCCTGACCCCCGCCCACGTCCTCCTCCCGCCCCGCGTCCCGCCCCCTCCTGTCCCCCGTGTCCCGCCCCCTCCTGTCCCCCGCGCCCCCTCCCGGCGCGCCCACCCAGGCCGCTCCCCAGCCCGCACCTGGCCCGCGGCGTCCCCTCCCGGCGCCGTCCCGGGTCCCCGCCGCCCGCCGCCTGCGTACGGGGTGACGCAGCGCCGCCTCCCCTCCGCCTGCCCGCGCCGCCGCCCCGGCGACTGCAGGGGCCGCTAACGGTCCCGCGCCCCCCGGCGTCCGCGCGCCCCCCGCCTGGCGACCAGGCCGCGCCGGCCGCGCTGGGGCGATGGGGGCGGCGGAGCCGCTGCGCTCCGTGCTGTGGGTGAAGCGGCGGCGCTGCGCCGTGAGCCTGGAGCCCGCGCGGGCGCTGCTGCGCTGGTGGCCGAGCCCGGGGCCCGGGCCCGACGCGCCCGGCGCGGGTGAGTGTGGCCGCCCGGGGTCCGGCGGGATCCGGAGCCGCGTCCGCCCGGGGCCTGCGCCGCCCGAGCTCCGGCAGGGCCGGCCCTGAGGGTGGAGGCGGACGGCCCGGATGGGGGCACCGGATGGGGAGGGCAGAGGGACCAGGGTGGGGGGACCTGGATGGGGGGCGGGGAACGGGATGGAAAGGGCCAAGGGACTGGGGGTAGAGAGGACTGGGGACGGGGATGGGAAAGGGGATGCCTGGGTGCTTGGCGACAGCTGGCAGGGAACTGTCCCCAGGCAGAGGGCACATACACTCCAGGGACCAGGACTATGATGAGCCTCAAGGAGAGAAAGATGTCAGAGGAAGATGGGAAGGGAGAGCGCTGGTAGCCCCCCACCCTCCCCTGTGGTGGAGACCCCCGTTGGGGGCCCTCTAGCCAGTGGACAGCCGGGATCTGTCCCCTGGTCAGAGCTAAGAGATTGGTCATGGAGGGGTCCCCAGGGGCTGCCAGGCCCCTCCCCCATCTCGGTTAAACCTCAGGACGGATGCTCCTATTTAGCAGGGATCTCAAAAGGAGAGGCACCTCGCAGGGTGGGAACTTGCCCTAGTGAGAAGGGGGCTTTTGACCTGTTGGGATGTGCTCCCTGCTTGGGGGTGGGGTGGTTTGGGGGCAACAGGTTGCCCACCTTGAGGACCTGGGGATTTGGAGAAACCTAATTTAGCTAAACATGAAAAAACACCCCACCCTGGAGGGCCCTGGTGCAGTGGCTGGCGTGAAAGAGGACCCAGGCTGCCCTCCCTGGGACCTTGTGCAGTGTTGTCTGGTGGCCGACAGATTGGCAGAGGCTTATAAAGGAGAGGTCATTTGGCCCCAGGAGGAAGGGGGATTATAGAAGGTGGCCACTGGACAGGGAGAGCAGCGATGAGCAAAGCAGAGGAAACCAGGCCCGAGTGCCGGGTGGTGAGCTTCATCCATTCCCTCTTCTGCCAGTTTTTGTTTTTGTTTTCTTTCTGGTGCTAGGGATGGAACCCGGCCTGGGGCATGCAAAGTGCGGGCCTCACCACTGAGCCATGCGCTTGCCCCTGAGGTTTGCACTGGGTGCCTGTTGAGGATGGGCCAGGCCGGTCCTGTAGGACATGGGCCACTGCTACAGTGGGGCATTTTCCATTAGAGGAGAAACGGGGACAGAGACAGGTGTGTTTGATGGAGCTAGGCCCCCGGGGAGAAGAGCCCCACAGAGACAGCGTCCAGGTTGACCAGGCGGGGTGATTGCTTTCTGGCACAGGGTGGTCCAGTGGTCCTCAAATACATGTCTTCTTTGATGAGACCTGGAGAGATGGGCACTCTGTGTGACAGGGAGGGATCAGTGCAACGAAGCAGAACAACAAGTGGCAAGTGCAAAGGCCCTGAGACACCAAGAGGCCCATGTGACAAGAATGAGGGCCACGTATGTGTGTTGGTGGGGGGGATAAAATAGAGCAAGGTCCCCTGAGGTCTTATGGGCCAAGTGGGGACTGGCCTTTACTGTGAGTGGAATGGGAGTCCCTGGAAGGTTGTATTCAATTTAACTTTTCAAAGGATTCCTGTGGCTCTGCAAGGAGAACAGACAGGAGGGATGAGGCAGGTGACCTGGGAGGCCTTGGGCCCAGTTCAGGTGGAGGGACTGGCAGTCGAGACCTGGGGAGGGCCCTGCTGGCAGATGAGGGTTTTGTTTCTAATCATGGGGGTGACAGTGGTGGTCACGTGCTCTGCTGGCGCTCTGAGTGTGAGGTGCCTTTTTAAAATTCGTTTTGCAGCCCCGGGGTCCAAATCCAGGGCCTCGAGCGGCTAGGCCTGGAGCCGGTGCGCTGAGCTGCAGCCCAGCCCGGTGTCTGTGGTGGGCAGTCAGGGCCATGGGACTGGGAACCCAGGGGAACTGGGTGGGGTCAGTCAAGGGGCAGCCACAACCTGCGCCGATTTCCAGCAGCTGTGGGCTTGGAGAGCCTGTCTGTGGCCGAGTGGCTGAAACTGGTCTGGTTCCCATTCCTCATGTCCCCTCTGGGAGAAGGTGGTGCTCAGACGTCACTCCCGGCCTCCCAACACCACTTTCCAGGGCGCACTTCTCTGTTTTTTTGCCCGTGACACTGATGTCTGGCCTGGGGCCCAAGTGGGTTGCGCTTTCCTGAAAGCCTCTGGCTTCAGCGAGGGTAGGTTTCCCCGAGCGCCCACTGAGTGCACACCGCAGGGCCTCTGTCCTGTCATGCTGGACTCCGTGGCTGCTGTGGGGAGCCACTCCTAGTTTCAGCAGGGAAGAGACTGAGCTCAGGGGCCTGAAGAGTCCGCCCCGGCAGGGTGCCAGGCTCCCGGACCCAGTGCCAGCTACCGCGCTCCTCCCCACTGGCCATCTGGCCTCCCCTGGGCCTGAGCAGCCGTGTGGACGTGTACGGAGCCCCTCCAGGGGCATGTGTGGGTGGGAAGCAGCTGCTTGCTGTTCTGTGTGGCACACGTGGCCAGCCACTAGTGCAGTCTCCGGTCCCCAGATTCTGGATTTGGTGTGGTGGCAGTGTCTGCTTTTAGTCTGCTGGTTTGGTGGACAGTGCTTCCACCGCCAGCTGCCCTTCCTCTCTGCTGAAGAGGTCACTGCTTCATTCCTGCTGAGTATGCAGGGGCGTTTATGTAGGATCACCTGAGCCTCCTGGTGTGACAGCAGTGGCCCTTGCAGAGGGGCCTGGGCTGCCTCATGGGTCAGAAGTGCTGGATGCAGCCACCATCTCTCTTTCTCCCTGCTGATTTTGCAGGCCCGAGTTAGATTGTTCTCCATTTGAGGTCAGTAGGGTCAGTAGGGCAGACTGTGAGCCAACTCACAGGACATTCAATTAATGTTAGTGGGTGGTGCTCCTGGCCCTGCCCCTCCCAGGTGCAGACACACCTGGATTGACTGGGTCGGTGATGGGAGGGGGAGATTGTGCAAAACCAGGTTCCCAGAGGGTGTGAGAGGACATCCAGGGATGGGCTGGGGCACGGCACCAGGCGGGGAGGCTACCCAGGTCTTTCATCTGCTCTTTCATTTTCTCCTATTTCAGATTGAAAACCGGAAGCTAAGAGTCGCTTGCACTTGGTGTGCAGTGGGGAGCAGGCTCTGAACCCAGGCACACACTCTTCCCCAGGCCCCAGCTGGGAAAGTGACAGGGGCCCGCAGCAGAGATAAGGACTAGCAGCGCCGAGGGCGGGGCTCTGCCGGCGGAGGCCTCCATTGAGAAGGCTGAGCCGGCAGTGCTCCCCTGACCGGGCCTGGTCGGAAGTAGGGCAGACTGAAAACAGGAAACCGGGGTGGGGAGGTTCTCAAAGTGGGTGGCTAGTTGAACTTGAAGCCGACTGGCCCCAGCTGCGGCTCCCAAGGAGCTGAGGTGTGCACCATGGTGCCAGGCTAAAACATGATTTTAAAAGAACAACTTTATTGAGGTGTCTGTGCATGCAGTGGCGGGGGGGGGGGTGCCTCTCTGCCAGTGTCTCAGGAGTGCAGCGGTGCTGTCCCTGCTGGTGTCCTGAGTTCCCTCTGTGTCAGCGTCCATTGTTTGATGCTGGTTCCTGGCTCTCGGACCATCTCCACCTGGGGCTGTGCAGTAGGGGTGCCCTGTCCTCTGCTCCCCTTCCCTCCGGGGGTGCGTGGTCAGGTAGGAGGCGGGGCATTCCTAGTCGTGTTGTACAGCGTTTTACATGAACATAACAAACACCTTTTTTTTTTTAATTTGTTTATTTTATGTGGTGCTGAGGATCGAACCCAGTGCCCTACACACGTGGGGCAAGCGCTCTGCCACTGAGCCCCAGCCCCAGCCCCTACAAAGACCTTTTTTACTGTTTAAAGGTAGAAAGTTTCCGGATTCAGAATCAGATGGATTTAAGATTTGCATGTAAAAGTAAATCCTCACAAGAAAATAGAGGACAATTCATAGCCTTGGAATGGAGGGTGGCCTTCCTGACCAAGATGGGATCCAGAAAGGACAGAGAATATGCTGGCTTTTTAACCTGGGGACAGGCGTCTGTAAGTCGATGAGGGGTGGTGTCCACAACTGATGGGGGACGATGTCCTCGTGCAGGGACCCCTCCGTCTCTGGTCGTGCCCTTGGCTGATGCTGACGTGGCCACCCCGCCTCCTTTTGGTCAGTGTCTGCATGGTGTCCCTGTCCTCGTCCTTTACTTTCAACGGCTCTCACCCTGAGGTTCGCAGTGATTTCTCAGCATGAAATTCCGTCTGTCCTGATGGCCTCAGTCCTGTGGATGGGCTCATCCCTGACCAGCTGGGCTTTTCAGAACGTAGGCTGCGGATGCGAGGGGTCAAGCTGCCGTCTGGTTTGTTTTCTGTTTTCTTATTCGTCTCTTTCCTTTTCCCACTGCCCTGGGCACTTCTTAGGTGTTTGTAGAAGTTTATTTTGATCTATCTATGTGCCTTAAACATTTTATACGTGTAATCCATGTGGGAAGATGCCCATTCCTGTTTCCCAGCATCGCTGTGGGCTTTTTGGGTTGCTCGGGTGCCCCTCCTAGGGTCTCTGGGGGGCGAGGTACCTGGGAGTGAAGTGGGGACGGCCTTCAGTGGCTCTCCCTGTGGGACTCTGTGGGCTCCCTGCTTCCTCCGCCCACGTTTAGAGCCACGGGGTGTTGTGAGGCTCCAGCCCTGGCGCACAGCCAAGAGCGCTCCAGGCAGCAGGAAGTGTGGCACTGAGTCTGTCTCCCCTCTGTGCTCACCTTCTTGTCCTTGAGGACCTGTCATTGTCTGGGTGTCCTTCGGAAGGGTAGCTCCCTGTGGTCATCTTCCTGTTGGCTGATGCCGACCCTGCGTCGGCGGGGGGCGCTCCCCGCACTGTCTGTTTGCTCACTGTGTTTAGTTCTGAAATTCCACCAGGCTCTTCCCTGCAGCACCTCTCCCTGGTTGGACCTCCTCCTCTGCGAGGCTGCGCTCTCCTTGTGGGAGTGTGTGGTGGCTGTTCTCAGGTCCTGCCCTGTCGCTGTCTCAGCGATGTCACCTACTGGTCTGT